AAGTGGTAGAGCTCTAGCCTTGAGCTGAAGAGCTGAGGGACAGCGCCCAGGCCCAGAGTTCAGGCCCCATGACCGGACCCAAAAAAAAAAAGAAAAGAAAACTCATGTAGGGTGGATATAAATCACTGATTGATACTGTGTAGTGCTATTCGTCACATGAAAGTCTGTCTGAATCCTTAAAGGAATTCAGTTAGGAAATCATTAAAAGTTCACAATTAGGTAGGGACAGGACTCTTGTCTCGAGCATGACAGGCTCGAGGCCAGTATGGACTACATAGCGAAACGCTATTTCACAAGCAAAACGAAAATGCAGATGAGTTGTCTTGTTGATAATACAGAGTCACAGGTCTGTCTTCAGATTCCCAAGCTGAGGCGTTGCACTGCCAACGCTAACCATGTTGGGGACCCTGTTTGTAGGGAGCCAGAACTGGAGGAGAGGGGCCCGCCGGGCTTCCTTAAATAGCCTGCTTTGTCTGTGTCTCCTTAGCCTCCACTATTACTTGCATGGAAAAGAGGTCCCCAAGCTCTCCCAGTGGACGACCCGGGCGAGTTCTGGGGTACGCGCTAATCCGTAGCCCCGCACTCGGCCTCCCACCGGGGCGGGGGAGGGGGCGTCGCAGAGACGCCAGCGCCTCAGCTGACCCCGGGCAAGTCTGGCGGTTTTCCCAGCCGCGGCTCTCCAGAAGTCCCCGAGCAGGACCAGGTCCCTCCCGTAGCAACACCTCAGGACGCTTCGGTCTTTCCCCCTCGCGGCCCAGACCGGTGCTCGGGAGCGCAGACAACCCAAACAAGCTCAGCCACCGTCAAGTTTCCCTCTCAATTCTTTTTGGGCGCTTCTGTGACGCAACTTCCGCTCCCGGAAGCAGGGCAGGGAGGCGGGAAGATGAGAATTGTAGCCAATCAGGAAATCCAGCGGAGGCTCCCGGAAGCGACCTGGACCGGGAAAGCGGAAGCGGCGCGTAGCACGTGGGGGCGGTGCTGGACCGAGGCATCCCAACCCTTCCCGGCTGTGGAAACGGTGGCCGGCGCCCGCCACGGTGAAACAATAATAACAAGGTGTGTGAATCGGGAGGCACACCGTGAAGCACGAAGACCGAATGAACATCATGGAGGGCTCTGGGGAGCCCCCGCATCCCGGGGACCACTGCATCCACGATGGCGACTTCGTGGTGCTGAAACGGGAAGATGTGTTCAAAGCAGTGCAGGTCCAGCGGAGAAAGTAAGCCCGGTTGTTGGTCTTGGGGCTCATCCTGTCCTCCAGATGCTCCTTCCCTCTAGGTTTTCTTCCAGACCCCTGCGGGGCGGGGGGGTTGGGAGGAGTGGGGTGGGGTGGGTGGTGCTGTTCTTGGCTCCTGAAATCTCCTTTGCCCTTACTACCCACGTCACTCTAGTTCCTCTGTAGGTGTACAGTCACAGAAGCACAGAAATAACGCTGACCATCCGTTGTGGAGCATACTTTTGTTGTTGGGTTTTTTGTTTTGTTTTGGTTTGTTTTTTTGCCAGAACAGGGGCTTGAACTCAGGGCCTGAGCACTGTCTCTGAGCCTCTCTGTGCTCAAGGCTAGCGTTCTACCACTTGAGCCACAGCACCACTTCCGGCCTTTTCTGTTTCTGTGGTACTGAGGAATCGAACCCTGGGCTTCATGCATGCTAGGCAAGCACTACCACTAAGCCACATTCCCAGTCCTGGAGAATACTTTTGAACCAAAATAGAATTAATGGGTCATTTCTATACTGGATGCAAAAAAAGTAAAGTTAATCGATTGTTTTTTCCTCCCCCCTCAGAAAAGTAACTTTTGAAAAACAGTGGTTCTACCTAGATAACGTCATTGGTCATAGCTATGGATCTACTTTTGAAGTGACCAGTGGAGGAAGTCTTCAGCCCAAGAAGAAGAAGGAAGAGCCCACTTCAGGTGCTTAAACTAGATGTTATTCATCTAGCAAGAGACTTCTAGTTAATTCCAAACTCTTAGCCCAAACTAACCCCTTCACTCCCCACCCCCCAAAAAAATCCAAGCCCATAATCTAAGAACTATAGTTTAGTGGAACAAGTCAAATACTTTGTTGGTGAACTACCTTGGAGTCCACATTGAATTGACTCCTCGACCTTGAGGCCTCTTAATCAGAGGCCTTGAGTCTGTTTTCTTGTGAGTGCTGGCTCTTTCATTGCTCAGAAGTTAGAGTTGTTAGCAGACAGTGAAGCAGATAAGAGGGCTGGCTTTGAATCCAACTGTCCGGGTATTGGTGCCTGCTTCCTCACCTGCCCTAGAATCTAGGGTTAGACCAGTGATTAGAGTTTTGCAGTTTTTATTTATTTGTCTATAAGATGAAGCCATTAAAGATACTTAACTCTTGAGTTCTTGTAATATGACTTATAGGAAGATCTTGATAGTATCTCTGGTAAGGCTCCTGTAGTTTTAACTTTATTACTAGTTACTAACTAAAAGCAAATATTTAAATATTCTAACACAAATATTTAAATTACTACTAATCAAATGCCTAAAATACAATTTTGAGCTAAACTAATTAGGTACTTTTAAATTAATATTCACCACATTTGGGGTGTGTGTGTGTGTATCTTCAGGCATGCTTTTACCAAGGCTTGAACTCGGCCTTGTGTTCTCAATCAGCTTATTTTTCATAACAGCAGTCTGCCATCTTGCTGGTTAATTGTAGATAGAATCTCAAGGACTTTTCTGCCTGGGCTGGCTTTGAACCTCAGTCCTCTAGATCTCAGTCTTCTGAGTAGCTAGGAATACAGGTGTGAGCCACTGGCTTCTGACTTCCATGGTTTTATTAAATAACAATAAGTGCTAGGTACAATTAGTCACTGTGCTAATGACAGTCCCTAAAACAGACTGTCTTATACAATGTACTTACAAGTGGAGAGCTGGGATGGTTGTAGACATCTGTATGCCCATTATGCTAGAAGGCTGAAGCAGGATCCTGGGTTCAAGGCCAGCTTTGGGGCTAAGGTGAAACCTGTCTAAATGTACTTACCAGTGCAAATACTATTTTAAACAGTCAAAATAATCAAATAGGCAAGCAACAGAATTTCTGATGGAGATACATCCTGTAAAGATAATAAAGCCACAGGGCTGGGAAGGTGGCTCAGTGGTAGAGTACTAGCCTTGAGCTGAAGAGCTCAGGGATAGCTCCCAGGCCCAGAGTTCAGGCCCCACAACTGACATAAATAAATAAATAATAAGGCCAGGAGCATGTAGTGGAGCCTGATTGGGAGAGGTGAGCCTTGGCTGAAATAATGCACTGAGCCCTCAGTAAATCGCTCAGATCTCAAAGGAGACATCTAGGCAGAGGGGCAGCAGTTCCAAAATCTTTTGAGGGACCTTAGTTGGATAGATTCACGAGCAGAAAGAATGGTAGTTTAGATGAAACTTAAGGGAAGTGTGATTTGGCAAGAAAAGGCAAGCTAGAGGGCTGGGTCTTCTCTGAAATGTATTCTCGTGGCTATGGGAAGCCACTTCATGATTTTAAACTCCTAAATAAAATAGGTGACCTAATTAATGAGTACTGAGGTATCCATGTGTATAAAGCAAAGTAGGGGGGCTGGGAAGGTGGCTCAGTGGTAGAGCGCTTGCCTTGCATGCCTGAGGCCCTGGGTTCGATTCCTCAGCACCACATAAGCAAAAAGAAAAAAAAGCCAGAAGTGGCACTGTGGCTCAAGTGGTAGAGCACTAGCCGTGAGCTGAAGAGCTGAGGGACAGCACCCAGGCCCAGAGTTCAGGCCCCACAACTGGACGACCTCCCCTCCCCCCCCAAAAAAAAAGGCAAAGGAGAGAGGGGAAGAGTGGGAACAGGAAGGTAAGAGGATCACAGACTACACCAGGGACAGAGTACCTAAGCTTGATTGGCTTTATGTGGACAAGTGAACTTAGGAAAAGTCAGATTATAATATAATTCAGATCATAAATATCATGGAGTAATTTCTTTCCTTAGATACTAAAGAAGCTGGCACCGATAATCGAAATATAATTGATGATGGAAAATCTCAGAAACTTACCCAAGATGACATAAAAGCTTTAAAAGACCAGGGCATTAAAGGAGAGGTAATAACACATACACACACAAAAAAAAACTTTATTTTTTCTGTATTTGACACCTAAGAGATTATTTGGATTTTAACATAGGCTTTACTTGGGGTAAAAGAGAAAGAGTAATAATGGTGATATACTTTTGTTAGAAATAGGTTGAAATTTGCACGCATCTACGTATATTGTGGTTTTTGTTATTTATGCAGGAATACAAGTCAAGTACATTGCTGGTTGTATTAGGGATAGAAAATATATCTTACACAGTGGTCCCTCACCTACTGCAGGAATTACATTGTAGAGATTCCCCATAATAGGTGAAAATCTGCAAAGTAGCAGCATTACATAGTCATTCCTCACTATATCATAGCTCATTTATTGCTTCTTCCTGGGTTTTCACCTATCACGGGACTCTCTAGAATGTAACTCCTGTGGTAGGTGAGGGATAACTATTTAAACTCGCAGTATAGTGAAACAAAATAAGTGAACCACAATATAGTGAGCAACAACTGTATTGGAATTAACATCATTCACTTTTAGTAATGTTTCAGCCAGTGTCCTCAGGAATCAAAGTTTCCTTATCTTTCTTCTTCCTTTATTGTCTGTCTTTTCTTTATCTTTGTTTAAGTAGAGTTGTAAAGTACATGTACTTTATTACAAATTCAACATAGATCACAGAAATACAGAGTTCATCCATTTGGACTTCTGTGAAGAGGCTCTGGACAACCAAACCTTTGATTATATTTTTACCGTAAGAAACGTTTGAAGTTATTTGCACTATGAAAGTAGAGGTTCAGAAAAATCTGCTTCTTTTCTTATAGGAAATAGTTCAGCAGCTAATTGAAAATAGTACAACATTCCGAGACAAGACAGAATTTGCTCAAGATAAATATATAAAAAAGAAGAAAAAGAAGTAAGTAGCATTGGTTGAAGTTATTAGACTCTATACATGTTTCCGAAATACATATTACCCTTTTTTTTTTAACTTGATTTTTTTCATTCTTCCAGATACGAAGCCATCATTACTATCTTGAAGCCATCTACCCGTATTCTTTCAATTATGTATTATGCAAGAGAGCCTGGAAAAATTAAGTACGCTTTGTTTCCTTTCAAAAGTATAATTGGGGGAAAAATATATCTTTAAGAAAGTCATGATTTTAAGTAAAATGAAAAACTTGCTCATCTGCATAAAGTGTCCTCCTACCTCAAAAATTGTAAGTCCTTTTACTGTCACCTCGAAAGCAATCAATAATTTTATCAGCACAATTTTATTAAGCAAAACTTGAAAAATAATTATTAAAATTTCAGACTGTTTTTTAGCTAAAAATGAATGAGTCATCCTTTTTTTCCTTAGCCACATGAGATATGATACACTAGCCCAGATGTTGACATTGGGAAATATCCGTGCTGGCAATAAAATGATTGTCATGGAAACGTGTTCTGGCTTAGTGCTGGGTGCAATGATGGAACGAATGGGAGGTAAGATTTAACACTTTCACATTCAGTTAAGCCCTGCCCTGATGGGAGTAGATACAAGGCTAGATGAGTGGCCAGTGGCTCACGCCTGTAATCCTAGCCATTCCGGAGGCTGAGATTTGAGGATGGTGGTGGAAGCCAGCCCAGGCAGGAAAGTCCATGAGACCTTTTATCTCCAGTAAACTACTCAGAAAAGGCCAGAAATGGTGCTGTGGTTCAACTGGTAGAGTGCTAGCCTTGAGCACACAGAGGCTTAGCCCACAGAGGGCTAGCACCTGGGCCTGCCCTGAGTTCAAGCCCCAGGACCAGCAAAAAAAAATTTTTTAAGCTGATTGAATACTTCATGGTTAATGAAGTGATATATGGATGGCCCTTTTTAGCTCCTGTCCCAGAGCTTCCCATGTGGTCTATATCTTGAGCAGGCTATGGTGATGCCCATGGTGGCTATTGTCCTTTTCCGCTTCAGGTGGTAGTTCTACAACCTGTGGCTTGCTAGACTAACCTTTGGGAAATTGATTTCAATACTTAACTTTGATAAGAAATCACATTTTACTATCCTTCATTGAAAGATTTGACTGGGAAGATTAAGGAGGTGCTTTATCCTGGACTATAGCCTAGCTTGGTTTGCTCTTTCTGATGCTGTAGAAGGCTCAGAACTACCTTATTTGAGAAATGAGTAGGAGAAAGTGACAAAGTCATGGACCATCCAGATTTACATATACATTAAGGTTTTAAGACTTCCTGTTCATTTGTTTTGGAATTGTGCTATCCCTATAGGGAAAATCAACACCAAACAGACCTGCAGAGTTGCTGTATCATTCTTTAGTCTGTAAACTTGAGTAGGAAGATGTTCAGTGTTACTACCATGTTACTACCTGGAAGAGACTGTGTGTTTTCTTAGTCTAGAGTTGACTCCACTCCACCATGCACATGTTTTGTTTTTAATCTGTTCAGGTTTTGGCTCCATTATTCAGTTGTACCCTGGAGATGGACCTGTTCGTGTAGCAACAACATGTTTTGGATTTCCCAAATCTTTCTTCAGTGGTCTTTATGAATTCCCTCTCAACAAAGTGGAGAGTCTTCTAAATGGAACGTTTTCTGCTGAGATGTTATCTTCTGAGCCAAAAGACAGTGCTTCACTTGAAGAAAGCAATGGGGCAGTTGAGGAGAAGCAGGCTTCTGAACAGGATAACGATGACAGCATGGCAGAGGCTCCAGAGAGCAATAACCCAGAAGAGCCAGAAGTAATGGAAATAGTTTCCCAAGATCCACAACACAAGGAGCCAAAAGAGAAAGGAAGCAAAAAAGACTATGTAAGCATATCAAATCACTATTCTCAAAATATTATTGGGGTCTCAGTTAACTTCACTGAAGTAATGAGGTTTAGTTTAGCTTTGGAATATCTAAGAAGATAAATGTCAAAAAGAGCAGAGTGGAGCCAGTTGCCAGGGTACAACTTAACCTTTGGGATGGAGCTCTAAGATGTACTGAATTGTTTTTTAATATATGTTTTCTTAGGTATTTCAATCTTCTTTAGAAGTAGCCTCCTCTTAGGAGAGGAACAGAAAGGCACAGTGCCTATATGCATCTGATCATACAAAATAATATTTATCAAAATGAACTCCAGGAAATGAAAAGAAGAAAAAAAGTAGCTTTAGCCTTCAGTTGATAAACATTGTTGAAATGTTTTGATGGGACACAGTGTTTTGGAAGACCTGGCTGAATGACCTCAGTACATTGGTTTCTTATTTTTCTTGAAGATGCAGGAAAAGCAAAGAAAACAAGAAGAGCAGAGAAAAAGACATTTAGAAGCAGCTGCTATGCTGAGGGAAAGAAATGCAGATGGGTACGTTGATGAAAATTGAACATAGGGTACTTGATGTTGGTGGGCTCCACTTCACAAAGATCAACGTTCTTTTCTGCTTGTCTCCTCTGATACTGTTGGGAACTGAGATGAGAACAGTGTCTTGCATTTTGAAAGAAAAGAGGCTGGGTCTGGCAGAGGTGGGAAATGGTGATAGTTCAAGAGTTGCAGAAGAAGCCGGGTGCTGGTGGCGCACGCCTATAATCCTAGCTACTCAGGAACTGAGATCTGAGGATCGCAGTTCAAAGCCAGCCCAGACAAGAAAGTCCATGAGACTCCTCTCCAATTAACAACCAGAAAATTGGAAGTGGCACTGTGATGCAGAGTGGTAGAGCACTAGTCTGACAGCACTCAGGCCCTGAATCCAAGCTCCACAAAAGTCTCAGTGGAAACCTAAGTGCACTTCAGTGAGAGTGCCTCACGGGGGACTGAGTCCCACTAGGTGGAGGATGGGACACTCAGATCTCTGTGGCACTGGCTGATGCCCTGAGCTAATGTAAACCCCTCTCAAGCAGAGATACACTTAGTCTGCAACACTAGCATAGACACTACTGGCTTTGTTTCCAAATTATTGTAAAATAAAATAAAAACAAGACTGTCGCTGTGTGTTACAGTTGCCAAGCACTGGGAAAGCTTGCAGCCTGGTTTTGTGTTTCATAGAAATAAATAATTTGTGTTCTTTCTCAGTTTTGAATTTCTAGAATGCTGTATTTAAACTTTATAAACCATGTAAGTACATGATCATTTTAGATGCATTTTACTTTATTTTTATTTTATTATTTTGTCAGTTATGAGGCTTGAACTCTGGGCATGGGCGCTGTCCATCAGCTCTTCAGCTCAGTGCCTAGCAGTGCTGTACCACTTAAGCCACAGCACCACTTCCGGTTTTCTGGTGGTTTATTAGAGATGAGCGTCTCATGGAGACTTTCTTGCCTGGACTAGCTTTGAACTGCGATCCTCAGATCTCAGTTCCTGAGTAGCTAGGATTACAGGCGTGAGCCCCTGGCCTCCTGCTTTGAATGCATTTTACAACTTAGGACATTCTTTGTGAGACAGGAGACATAATTGTGGAACATTTTCTTCGCAGCTTAATTGTGGCCAGTCGTTTCCATCCCACTCCTCTGCTGCTGTCTCTGCTGGACTTTGTGGCCCCTTCAAGGCCATTCGTGGTCTATTGCCAGTATAAAGAGGTAATACTGGGATAAGATGGACAGCAGTTCTTACACTTTAATTATGTGTACCAAACTGCACCCAGGAAGTATTAACAAAATTCTGTTTTTTGTCTTCAGCCTTTGTTGGAATGCTACACAAAACTCCGGGAAAGAGGAGGGGTCATCAACCTCCGGCTGTCTGAGACTTGGCTCAGGAATTATCAGGTACGTGTTCTTACCATCAGACTGTGGACCTGCTGTCTCATTGTAGTAGTACGGGAGGTTGTCAAATAGATCTGTCTGTTTCTGATGATAATGGTAAAGTCTCCTGCCTGCATGTAACTCGGAGAAAGTGCCCCTGCCTTTTTTTTTTCCCTGATCCTTTTCTCTTCATGTCAGGGAGTATTATTCTGTAGCGCTTATAACATAGACATTCAAAGAAAAAACAGTACAGTTCACATTTCCCCAAGACCTTGATATTTCTGTGGAGAGGGTAACTGACAAGGATGCAGTCTCACATGGACAAGAAAGTGCCCTTCATACTAGGTCACTACTGTGATGTCTTCACAGCCAATGTTTGGGATATCTTGATGGACCATGTCAGTTCAGGTCTTCTGGAAGTCATATATCCAGGTGCATTTCTTTTTCTCTTTCCTTGCCCTCTGTTTTGTTTTGTTTTCTTTTTAGATTCTGGGTATCAAACCCAAGGCCTTGCACGTGCCAGGCCAGTTCACTACCACTAAACTACAGCCCCAGTCACACATACATCAGGATGGAACTCAAAAGTGTAAGAGCTTTATTGGGAGAAATGCCTTTGAAAGGCAGACAGGGTAGGCTTAGCTGCTGTAGTTGATACCTGAGAAGGAGGTGCTAAAGGAATGGGGAGAAGCGGCTATAGTGCTGTTCTGAGAAGGTTAGGCCAGGTTAGTAGGTCAATAGGAGCAAGAGTGCCTCTTAAAGGGGTTCTGGATTGGGCAGAAATGATCCAGAGGCAGAAAAATGTGTTCAGTTACCATTGGGAACCGCTGGTGGCTAAATGCTGCAGCAGTATCCAAAGGCTTTCTGTACCCAAGCCTCATAGCCAGTCCCTTCATGAAGGGAGAGCAGAGAAGTCCCTCCCGTGCCCAGAGCAGTCCTGCTACTTGGCATCTTCTCTTTGATACTGTGGTTGGAGGCTGTTGAGCCCTGAGTACTCTACCCTTCATGGATCATCTTAGTTAAGGTAATAGGGGAGAAGAATTCTTATCAGAGTTGAGCCAATCAAAGGGAAGGGAGGCTCTGAGTGGTCATCCAGTTGCCACTTCTTCATGGACCTAAGCTTCGGCATTGGCCATGAAGCTTCCTGGAGCCAAGAGGAAGAAGCAGGTCATGCAGACTATTTGCTCACTCTCCACAGACTTGGGAGAAACAAATACCAGTTTTATTATTTTGTTTTGTTTTTGTTCCAGTCCTGGGGCTTGAACTCAAGGCCTGGGCGCCATCCCTAAGCTTTTGTGTTCACTCCACCACTTGAGCCACAGCTCCACTTCCATAATTGGAAATAAGAATGTCATGGACTTTCCTACCTGGGCTAGCCTCAACCCTTGATTTCAGGTGTGAGCCACCAGCACCTGACTTAATTAGTTTTATTTTTCTCATATCACTTAGCACTCTCATATGAAGGAAGGAATGAGTTACTACTTAAGAGTCATCCAGTTAAATCTTCAAGAGAATCTGTCATTTAAATCCTGATTTTGGGGCTGGGAAAGTGGCTCAGTGGTAGAGTGCTTGCCTTGCATGCATGAGGCCGTGGGTTCAATTCCTCAGAACCACATAAGCAGAAAAGGCCAGAAGTGGTGCTAGCTCAAGTGATAGAGTGCTAGCCTTGAGCTGAAGAGCTGAAGTGTCCAGACCCAGAGTCCAGGCTCCACGACCAACAACAACAACAAAAATCTTTATTTTTGAAACTTATGTTTTTCTGTTATGATTAGGTACTGCCAGATCGAAGTCATCCCAAATTGCTGATGAGTGGAGGTGGTGGTTACCTTCTGTCAGGCTTCACCGTTGTCTTGGATAACCTTAGAGCAGACACCAACCTCAAGTCCAGTATGAGTGCTTTAGAATCTCCCAAGACTGAGGAGCCAGCACCCAAAAAACAGAAATGCACTGAGTCTGGCTCTTAACTCATCAAGGATGGTTTTGATTTTTGTCTTCAGGCATTCTGAAGTTGATAAACTTTAAATGCCATTGCTAATTGTTTCTTCATGCCCTAAGAATACGAATGTCTGTGTCCATCTCTTCCTGGGAAGGAGAGAAGCCTTTTGTCACATTTCTGACACAGATGGGTTCAGACTGTCAAAACTGCAACTCAAGTATGCATTCATGGATTGATTCAATACTTGTGTTTATTTAATAAAAATCCTCAGACTACTTTCAAATGCTCTGCAAATATCTTGAGAATTTCAGCATCCTTGAAAAGATGTACAAGACTTTGTTTCTTTTTTAAGCTAATTGGAATATCTCAGTAGAGCTAAAACATGGTGAGTACTGAAAGGAAGAAATTGTGGATAAAATGTCCTGTTCATCCTCTTCTCTTCCAGCCTAAGCAATATGGATGTGTGAGTATATGAGGTTGCCAGTACCAAAAAAATGTCTGCCATGCACCCTCAGTGAAATAAGTTTTTTTTTTTTAATGTTAGGTTTTATTACTTTAATAGCTGACAACCTGGGGAGGTCCAAGAACTTATTTTATTGCTTTAAGGGAGTGGGTGCAGAAAGGTTTCATAGGTACTATATTTGCATTAATTTGCCAATTCTCTTATCCTTTTTTCCAAATAAAGTGACTAGTACACGTGTGTGTACTGATGTTGGTATACACACGCATGTATTTTGTATGTATGCACAAAGACAGAATGTACTGCCTATTGAACTACAGTGAAGTTTTGTGCAAGACTTAGGACAGGTCTCATTGTATTGGTATCACTCCCTGTCAAGTGTTTGTTAAAGTGCCTTTTTCTGGTGATTAATACTGGTCTAAAGAGCTCTGCCATGATTCAGTAATTAGCCTTATGATAAGCTCTGACAAACCATGATCAAATGATTTGGCCATCTGTTATAGCAAATAAAAAATATTAAGAGTAAGCCACGGCTCCCATGCACTTGATTTTTGCCTCTGTGTATGTCTGTCTATCTGTGTATGTCTGTCTATCTGTGTCATGCCAGCCAGTAGTTGGGTTTGAAATCAGGGCCTGGGCTCTGTCCTTTAGCTTTTTCACTCAAGGATGGTGTTCTACCACTTGAACCACAGCTCCACTTCTGGCTTTCTAGTTTATTGTAGATGAGAGTATCATGGACTTCCCTGCTTGGGCTACCTCCAAGTCTTGATCCTTAGATCTGAGCCTCCTGAGTAGTGGTTGATTAAGGGCATCAATCAGCAGCACTTGGCTTTCTCATGCATTTGATACCTGTGTCTTGCCCACTAGAGCATGTCCACTATGTGTATTATTCCTGTCACAGAGAAGACCTGTATTGCCCAGAGAGTAGCATATCAGGAAAAAAGAAACTTCTTTTTTTTTTTTTTCCAATGACATCTGCCACTCTTAATGGCTGTGGGTTTACCAACAAGTACAATTTTTTTTTCTGAAAACAATTGCTGTTCAAGAATAAAAGTTCCCTACGATGATCCCTCCAACTGATTAACGACTTAGTGATGCTGCCTGGATTGGTTTTCAGTCTAATGTGACACGTGACATGGTATGTGGTAGAGGACATCTTGATGGCTGCCTCACTGAACATGTAGCAGATTGACCTGAGGTAGCCAGGCAAGTTCATGAAGGAAGTCACAGACTACATAGGTGAGATTCAGTCAGCACTAATTGTTTTCCCCAGGTTACTAGTGAAACTATCTACTAGGGACTCATCCTGTTTCCATGCCCCATTACCTAAATCTTGGATCTGTGCTGACAGATTTGTGGATTGAGCTCGCCTATGCCCATGAACCTCTCTTAGGAGATAATTTGTGAACTCTAGTACCACCAGCAAAAGTTAACCTGCCTTGTTTTCCCCCCTACTCAAGATGACTTAACGAGGCAGTTCACAAACCTGGTCTGCAAGTTTAGTGTTAGGAAGTTTACAATTTCCTAAAGGGGCTGTGTTACAGATTTCTGGTTCCACTTCCCTGGTGTTTCTTTTTCCCGTAGGTCTAAGATAGAGCAGAGGATACACTTCTGTTAAGCTTCCAGATGATAGCAGTGCTAGTGCTGCTGGTCTGGGAGCCAGCCAGAACTATTACTATGCTTCTGCATCATAGGTAAAGCGAAATAAGAACATCTAAATCTTCTGTATAAGTGGCATCACACTAGGACCAAACAAGATGTTGACCATTCCCCAGGCCTTTTTTCAGTCCTGGCTGCCTACTCTCGGGCACATGATTTTTCTTTTCCTATATTGCCCAGTAATCTTGAACTCCTAAACCCTAATAATGTGCCCCACTAATAACGACAATTGGCTGTATTTCCATTTTAGGCAATTTTTTTCCCCCAGTACATGAGGATAGAACTAGAACCTCATGCATGCTTGGTAAGTAACATTGAACTAAACCTCCAGCACTCCAATTGTTAGGATTTTTTTGTTTGTTTGTTTGTTTGTTTTGGGTCCGGTCATGGGGCCTGAACTCTGGACCTGGGCGCTGTCCCTCAGCTCTTCAGCTCAAGGCTAGCGCTCTACCACTTGAGCTACAGCGCCACTTCCGGCTTTTTTCTTTTTGCTTATGTGGTGCTGAGAAATCGAACCCAGGGCCTCAAGCATGCAAGGCAAGTGCTCTACCACTGAGCCACCTTCCCAGCCCCCAGTTGTTAGGATTTTTAAAAACAACATTTTGGGGGTGGGGAGGAAGGTGTCGGTAGTAGGGCTTAAACTCCGCCTGGGTGCTGGCCCTGGGTTCTTCAGCTCAAAGATAACACTCTACCACTTTGAGCCACAGTGCCACTTCCAGTTTTCTGGTGGTTAATTGTAGATGAGTCTCACAGACTTTTCCTGCCCAGGCTGGCTTTGATCTGCGATCTTCAGATCTCAGCCTCCTGAGTAGCTAGGATTACAGGCATGAGCCACCAGCACCTGGCATGATAATTTTTTTAAACAGGTTAGTCAAATCTATCTAGTCTCAGCCTAGGAAAAGCAGTATTTTTTTTCCTAATCTCTATTTCTTGAACATTCTGCTACTTCAAAAAGTTGCTTTTTTTTTTCTATTATGCATCCAAAGTCCAGCAAACCCCAGTGCCCAAATTTACTCTTAAGAGTAGCCCTCCAAGTTAGCCAGTTAGCCCAAAAGAAGCCAAGAACCATGAAGCTTCTGGTCTCAGATGAGTCTTTTATTATTTCAAACTGAGACAAATGTATTTTCAAAGACAGCAGCGCAGTCATTGTCACAAGCTTATTAATGTGTATTCTGCAAGAAAATATGCTACAAGTCATGCTATCCATATTCCCAATAGCATTCTGGCAAAAAAAAAAAAAGACATTTCCAATTGTGTCAAACATTTAATGAATGGTAAGTTCTACTTTCTACCTTTGGCTAAATAAATGGTGTCATTCATTGTAGTAGTGGAAAATAGATAAAGTGAGAGCTGCTTTTTAATATTGCTCCATTGCTCTAACATACATCAGCCCCTTTGGCTGAACTTGTCAGCTATTTTCTGCAGTTCCAAGTCCATTGCAGCCAGGTTTTCAAGCTCTTTCTCCTAGAAAACAAAATTGGAGACAAAAGGTTTCAGATCAATCTATTTGCTATAGTTGGAAGGACCATGAGTAAAAATGGGGGAAATTTTAGATATATCAAAGGCTACATGAGTCAAATTACATCAGGGGTTTTCAAAGTGTGATCCCTTACACGAGTAGCATCAATAACCCCAGCATACCAAAGGAACTCATTAGTAATTAGTTCTTGGGTCACACTCCACAAACTTATAGGATAGAAATCTCATGATTCTGGAGATCAACCAACATCACTAGTTGGAAAAATCATTATTTAAGAACAGCTCTCTCCCAGAGGTCAGTTTCTGATTATAGTAGGACACAAGCCAATAAAAATAGGCCAAAGTGCCAGACACTGGTGGCTCATGTCTATAATCCTAGTTACACAGAAGGCTAAGATCTGTGGATCACAGTTCAAAACCAGCCAGGACAGACAAATCCAAGACACTGCTATCTCCAGGGCAGCAGCAAAATGCTAGAGTGGAACTGTGTGGTTCAAGTGGGAGAGCACCAGCTATGAGCAAAAGAAAGGTTGAGATTCAGGGTTTGAGCCACAGTATTGGCACTTTTTTGTTTTTTGGTTTTTTGTCAGTTGTGGGGCTTGAACTCTGGGCCTGGACACTGTCCCTGAGCTCTTCAGCTCAAGGCAAGAGCTCTACCACTTGAGCCACAGTGCCATTTCTGGTTTTCTGGTAGTTAACTGGAAACAGGAGTCTCATGGACTTTCCTGCCTGGGATGGCTTTGAATCATAAGCCTCAGATCTCAGCCTCCTGAGTAGCTGGGATTACAGGCATGAGCCACCAGCACCTGGCTATCATACTTTTATATCAGTTATTCACCCAGCCATGGGAGACAGTGACATTCAAATGATCAAGGGGAAGACACCAGACCACCTTGACAGAACAGTAAGAATCACCCAGAATCTTAAAAAAAAAAAAATCTCCATGCTTTATTCAGGGGGCTAGTGGCTCAAGCCTATAATCAGCCTATTCAGGAAGCTGAAATCTCAGAATCATGGTTAGATGCCAGCCCAGACCAAAAAAGGCTCCAATTAACTAGCAAAACGCTGAAATTGGAGCTGTGGCTCATATGGTAGAGAGGCAGCCTTGAGTGAAAAAAGCTAAAGGACAGAATTTAGGCACTGAGTTCAACCCCCTTCCCCCCCAACACACACATAACTCTCTGTGCTCACTGTCTTCTTAGACAGAAGCTCTAGGAGATCTCAGACACAGTCATTAGCCAAGCTCTCCAGGTGATATGCAGATGAGGCTAAGAGACAGGTAGGAGAAATAGGTGGAAATCAACTCCAGCGGTGGTCTGTACTTTTTTTTTTTTCTGTCAGTCCTGAGCCTTGAACTCAGGACCTGGACTCTGTCCCTGAGCCTCTCTGTGCTTAAGGCTAGCATTCTACTACTTGAGCCACAGCACCATTTCCAGCTTTTTCTGAGTAGTTTATTGGAGATAAGAGTCTCACAGACTTCCTGCCTGGGCTGGCTTTGAACCACGATCCTCAGATGTCAGCTTCTTGAGTAGTTAGGATTACAGGCGTGAGTCACTGGTGCCCCGCTAAGGCTACATTTTCATGGTTATAAATTCCCACCCATTCCTCCCCATCAGTATCAGATAACATTGAACAAAACATATTCTCTTTGACCATGGTAAGTTCATCTTAAGCAGAATCCCCATACTGTACCTCCTCCTCTGTCAGAACTCTTCGGTCAGCCCTGTCCTTTTCATTTTCTGCTTCCTGGAGTGTTCCCATCTGCTCCTCGACGTTATAGAAGTCGGGAAATTCATCTGACTTCTTCCTGTAGTGAAGGAGCTGGTCCAGCTCAGCCACTCGGTCATACTGCCTTTTCAGATCCCATTTGGGGGCCTGAGCAAAGCTTCTCTTCTCATATCCCCAATTCACATCCTCTGAGAAGGGCCTTTTCTCCCACCAATCATAGCTGTATTCTGGGAATACATTCCTCTCATTCAAGGTCAGTGCATTGTCCTCATCACCCACAAAGAAATTGTCATCCATGTTGTCTTTTCTCTCAAAACGGCTGCTCTTCCACCGGGCAGGGTCAAAGTATGGGTTGAAGAGGGCCCCTAATCTCTTTTTCTTTTCAGTGGTATGTGGAGAGCCAGACCATTTGTCTTGAAGCCTAGCTTCCTCCCGATTTCCTTTCTGTTCCAGAAGGTCCTCCTGTGGCTCCGACTTCCCTGGGGCTCCTTCCTCACCGTAATTGAGATAATCAATTCCTTGCTCTTGCCATTCATTTTGGGGATATCTTCTTGCCTTGTCCATCTGGCTTTCTTGAACATGGTGACGACCTTCACCCAAGAACCTTTTCTCTTCTCTGGTGTGAGGAGTCAAATAGGAGCCTGGCTCCGCTCCCCTGCCTCTGTGATGGTATCCCTTTATCCCCTCATATGCCTTCTCCTCTTCACTTTCCTTACCATATTCATGTGCCATGTTTTCAAGTTGTGAACTGGGATGATTTCTCTTGTCCTCCTCCTCCTGGCTCTCCTCGCTGTAAGGCCTCAGGGCCTTGTACTCCTCCCTTCCTCTGCCTCTATAGTGTGCTCTCTCCAGATCCTCATATCTGGGTTCTTCCTCTGAAGCCCAGTAATGGGTTGAATGGTGCTCCCTCTTTTCCCCTAAATGGGCTGGGCCCACATTGGCCTCCTCAAATCCCTCCAGGGCAGGTCCTCCTTCCTCCGAGGGAGGATTTCCTTCTTGAGAGGACCTGTCCGGCCTGCTCCTCCCATGGTGGTGTCTAGGCCTCGTGCGTCGCTTGGTCACCTGAGCGGTAGCGTCTTCCTCGCTTTCCTCCGATTCCTCCTTGCTCTGGAGTTGGCTGTTAGACTCTTCAGGATGTTTCTCCTGGCTCCTCGTGGCTTCTCCACTCTCCTGGCTGCTCTCCTCTCTGCTGTGTGTCTTCTCAGAGTATGAATCTGATCTGATCCTCAGCTCCTCTTTTTGCTTAGCTGTAGCCTGGTTTCTGTTGCTGAGAAAGGTTTTCTGCACCTCTCCCGGCTCTTCAGGCTGTTTCCCTTTACTGACATCTTCACGGAACAACCCTTGCTGGTAGTCTCCTCCCTCTTCTTCCTTCCCGTCCTCTCCCTCAGAATGGTGAGTATTTGCTTCTTTGGAAACTTGGCTAGCAGAGGGGTAGGGGTGCCCTTGGTGCTTATCCATCACCTCTTGGCTGTGTCCCCCTCCCTCTGCCCACTTTCCCATGTCTGCCTTTGTCTGGCCTTGAGTGTCCTCCTCCCCTGGGGCTGCTGCTTCCTCTCTACCAGCTGGCTCCTGGGCTTTGGGGGCCGCAGCTGGGTCTCTTAACAATCTTACTTCAAACTTGGTGTTTTCATTTTCACTTTTCTCTTTGTCTTTGACTTCTTTTCCACCTACAATAAAAATATAACTTCATAAAGTCTGTGATTCTACAAATACCAGCTAGCTAATCACTGCAAATCCTGAGGACAGTGGAAATTGTTAAGATACTTTTTTTAAGTTATAGAGACTATATTCTGATACCTTTGAATAGCAGATGGTTTGGCCAGGTGCTGGCGGCTCATGTCTGTAATCCTAGCTACTCAGGAGTCTGAGATCTGAGGATTGTGATTTGAAGGCTTCCCAGAAAGGAAAGTCTGTGAAACTCTTATCTCCAATTACCCACAGAAAAAGCCAGAAGTGGCACTGTGTCTTGTAATAGAGCTCTAGCCTTGAGCAAAAAGGAGCCCAGGGACAGTGTCTAAACCCAGAGTTTGAGCCCCAGAATAGGCAAAGATTTTAAAAAGTTAAAAATTAAAAAGCAAATGCTAGCTCTTTGGCTGTATCCTTATTTGTAGATTTACCTAATACCTAATCAGCATCTCTAATTGGGACTGTTCATGATCAAGTTGAAATCCACATATAGATGTATGAATTTTAGACCAGAAGAAATCATAGAATTTATCCAGTTCTATCTCCTCTTTTTTTTTTCCAGAGAAGGAAGAACTTGAGAACTCAAAAGTATTGTAATTCTCTATTATTCTTTCCATATTTAGCGTGGCTAGTATGTGAATGGCTCTAACTGTAATTCAGCTAAATGAAGTTAAGTAGCCAAGGGGCTGGGAATGTGGCTTAGTGGTAGAGTGCTTTCCTAGAATGCATGAAGCCCTGGGTTCAATTCCTTAGTAGCACATGAACAGAAAAGGCAGACGTAGTGCTGTGGCTCAAATGGTAGAACACTAGCTTTGAGCACAGAGAGACTCAGGGACAGAGCCCAGGTCCTGAGTTCCAGCCCCAGGACTGGCAAAAAAATAAAAATAAAAAATTTAAGTAGCCAAAATGGAGATTAAGATTCAAAGGTGGATTCAAATTTTAATTATTTGTTTATCAAACTGTATCATCCAATCAACAGTATAGATTTAACCCAGCTATAAAATATTACTTAGTACCATCAAGAGCTGCACACTGATGGCTCAGCCAACAATGGAATACATTTCCCATAGTGGTCCCATAAGGTTGTATCACTTGTGATGTCATAGGCATCTTTGTGGAAGTACTCAGTATGATGTTTATGCAGCAACCAAATAGCCTAAAGATGCACTTTTCAGAACCTACTCTATCATCAAGCAATGCATGACTGTAATTGGTGATGAGGTTTATCTTTCTTCCCCAAGGAACTTCAAACAATGGAAAGGACCCTTTCTTCTTTTACTCAGGACCAATCCACTCCTCTTGTTTTTATCTACATTGGATGAACTTTAGTATACTGAGTTACCTTTGTGTTTCATGAGTCAGCAGTAGATGGTATAGCTGACATTTTGCCGCTTCCTTCCATCTTTTCCCAAATATCAGTAGCTCCTTTACTAAATCCTCAACTCAAGGGCACCCCATAAAAGAAGATGTACAGTTAGCACTGGCTCCATAATTAATCGAGAGAGCTTGGACTTAATCTTATCTCACCAAGCTCAGAGAGAAGGCCTGAAGCCAAGGCCTCTGACAGCAATGAGTCTACATCTTCACCATCCATTGTGGGAGCCCATAGTCCTAGTGTTTATGGAACATTTGATGCTGTGTCTGGTACAAACTGAGACCTGCTCTGCAGGTAAGATACACCCTAGAGAGTGGAGTTATGGCTCAAAGTGGCAGAGCACTAGCCTTGAGCAAAAGAGTGCAGGGACAGCGCCTAGGCCCTGAGTTCAAACCCCAAGACCAACAAAAACAACAATATCAACATCCTAAAATAGATACACCAGATTGCCAAGACTTCATATGGAAAATAGAACGTGAAATATTTCAATAATTTGCTGGTATTGGTTACATGTTGAACTGCTAATATTTTGAATCTACTAGATAACATGTTATTAAGAGATGGGTTATATAAAATTATATTAAATAAAATATGTTGGCTGCAAATGAGATAGATGATTGAAATTAATTGTACCTATGTCCTTTTACTTCTTACATCTAGCCACTGGAAAATTTGAAATTGTCTTTGTAGTTCTTTTATTTTTGTTGACTGGTGCGATGAGTCATACTGAGGCTGAGATTTACAAAACAGAAGAAAATTGTTTGGTTTTATAAAAATGTCTGAGAGATACTGGGTTGTATGTACCTCTGATTAAAGCCTGGCCTGGTGTGATAATAACATCTTCACATTTACAAAGCAACAGAAATGTTCCTGACCTTCCACATACCCAAGGGCTGTCACACTCTCTGTGTCCATGACAATGTAGGCAACATTGGCCCTCCTCGCCAGGTGGGCACAGGTAGGCAGGGTGGGAGGAGCTTTGTGACTGTGTCCCCTCCCTACATTCATATGCAGATGTCCTAATCCTAAATGTGATGTTACTAGGAGGTAAGGCCTTGGGAAAATACTGAGGTCATGAGAAAGGAGCCTTCATGACGGCACTGGTACCCTGGCTAGAGGAGACTTGAGAGAGGATACACATGAGGATACAATGGGGAAGGTGGCTGTCTATATGCCAGGAAGTGGGCCGTTACTGGAGACCTTGATCTTGAACATCAGCCTCTACAACTGTGAGAAATGCATGCTGGTTGTTTAAGCCACCTGGTCTATATTTGTCATAGCAACCATAAATAACTCAGGCAGATGCTGATGTCATTCTCAGTTAGCGGACGGAGAGCTAAACAGACAGGATCTCAGCCTCCAGGGACTACAGCCACATGGCCTCTTTCTACAGTCTGCTGGTACGTGAAGATCTTAAGTGTCAGGAGAGAAAAGTATTTTTATTTTATTTTTTTCCAGTTAAATGTGTACTGCCTGTAGCAGCTTGTGCTTGAGGCTTAACACTTTCTCCTAAATTTAGCTTCAAGCCCTGGCAGGTAAGATTGGAAAAGGGCTATGATTAGCAGCACAAAGTTATTGTCCATCTGTAAACCCAAGATGCCAGAAAACCCTCGCTTTCAAGTTAAAAGGGGAAAATGCACCTTTTGTCCATATTATGCTGAGAAGGTGACCAGCCTATCCTTGGTCAAAGAGATCGTCTATCTGTTGAGGAATTGGATTAACCCAGGCACCAGTGGCTCACACCTGTAATCTTAGCTACCCAGCAGGCTGAGATCTAAGGATCATGGTACAAAGCCAACCTGGACAGGAAAGTGAGCCATGTTTCCTAAGTGAGCTTGGTTATTTGTTGACTTTACATGACAGCCCCTCGCTTTTGCACCCATCTGGTAAACAAAGAAAAGGAAAAGGACAGAGCAAAATGATTCACCCAGCAGAGCAGCTTTTACTCTCTGTTGGGGATCCACTCTGCTCTCCCTTCCTATAATGGCTGACTAAGGGAGTTGGGGAAAAATCCAGAAAGAGGTATTGCCTGTAAGTGAAAGGAGCATTTCCGTTCACTTTTATGAAGGCCCCACTAGCTCAGGCCTTCCACAGTTATAATTATTACCCCGAAGCGCCCATGGTTACTCATTGGGCCAATTGTTAATACTTGTTACTATCATTTTATACATGGAAGTGTATAGCATTAGCAAGAGAATGCTGTCTTGCAATACAAGTATTTTTTGTGGAGCGTTGAGGGTACTAGAGGTTGAACCCAAGGCCTCATCCTTGCTAGAAAGATGCTCTAAACTCTGAGACACACCTCCAGCCCTTTTTGCTTTAGTTATTTTTCACATAGGGTTTCACTTTTGGGGAAGAGGGCAGGAGCTAGCCTCAGACCATGAGCCTACCTATGACTCCTTATAGCTGTAATAACAGGTGTACATCACTATGCTGGACTGAGTTGTTAAGATGGAAACTTGCTAATGTTTTGGTTTTCTTTGCCTCAAATTGTGATCCCTCTTGAGTAACTGGGATTACAGGTATCAGTTACTGCACCCCACATAATGAGAGATTTTTTAAGGTGCAAAGAAAGAAAAAAATGTCCATTGTTCTGAACCTGGCTGCAAATTTAAAAGCAGAGAAAGGCTGTTGAAAAGAATAGTGTTTTCTGAACTTTTCTTAAATTCATGTGTATGAGAAACAATATAGTTTTATTCAACTAATCTCAACATAGAGCTCTCAATGCCTACTGTGTATAGCATCATTCAAATTTGTTTCAACAGAGGCTCTTTAAAAGCAGAGAAAAATCCTGGTGTAAATTCAGAAGGCCATTTGTCTGACTCTTTGCAATGCTGGGATTCCGCTCTGAACCCTTACCAGTCCTCAGACCTGGAACTCCTGGTGTCCCTTAATGTTCTGCATTAAGGTATATTCACTAATCTGCCATTGAAACAGTCTAGACATTTTCAAATCACATTTATAAGTCTCCGATTTCTCATTGTCATAGGAGTTGAGGCAAAAGAAGAGGCAATTCCTATAACTCCACTCACCCAAAGGAAGGCGTGTTTTGGAAATTCACAAGATGAAACCAAGACCAGCATTGAGCTCAACCTCTTCATTTTATTGGAAAAATGGCCCAAGTTGAAGAAATTAGCCCAGAGACTCATGGTCACATGGCTACCAAGTAGTAGAGCAGGGATTAAAGTCATATCTCTGTTTCTCTAGTTGCAAGTCCAATCAATCAAGACCATCTCTACAGCATTAAGCTCTTGGGGTTCATTTGTAGGTGAAATGGAGAGAGAAGGAGATAGTCACTACAGGGACAAAGGTAGGGGACACTTACTGTTCTTCAGGACTTGCCGGCATTCAGGGGTGATAGATGGGATGTTGGACTCGGACAGGGCATTTGAGAGGACCTCAATGATACAGCGAGTGACCTAGGGGAAAACACAATGGCAGATTGGGAAAGCTAGTGTCATTGGAATGCAACACTACCTAGAGCTCTTATCGGGGGGGGGAGGCTTGATTATGTGATCTGTAGGATCTTTAGAGCAAGGACACAGACTTATAGGGCCATGTTGAAGGCTCCAAAACACTGCACAGATGATGTAAGACAACAACATGTTTTGGTACTCTGGAAAAGTGAAATGAGCACTCATTTCTGAGTGGGTCTGAAGGAAAATGCTGTGAGGACACAGCTAGCCACAGGGGGCACTAAATCCTCTAGGAAGAATATGGGAGCTCAGTGCAGGAGGGGCATTCTTCACCTCTGTTCTCTCAGGGGTGAAAACCTGACATTCTCAGACCACAGGGTGTGTATGGTTGATATGTCATAAGGAGTGGGAGAATCTAGAGTAGATACAATGTCTAGGTTGCCATTTCAGCTTACCATTTCTTCATTGTGGCTCCCATTATCCACTGGTACGGAATTGACAGCTTTGAGGAAGAAGAAATGGAAAACAGCTTGAGTTGAATTTTGGATACCATGGGAAGCAAACTCACAAAAGCACTCTGCATTATTTGGAGGAGTGGGAAGAGTCAGAAGGGAGTAGCGTTCACATGAACTCTGCTCAGTGGCCAGAATCGCCCCAGTTACACATACACAAATGCATAAACATACACACATGCACACATAGACATGGCATTGTCTTAAGCATTTTCAGAAATGAGTGCTGTCTTACACTCAGTATAAATTAAGTGACTTTTTTTTCTTCTGGTCCAGGACTTGAACTCAGGACCGGGGTGCTGTCCTGAAGCCTCTTTGTGCTCAAGGCTAGCTCTCTACCACTTAAGCCACAGTGCCATTCCCCTCAGTATAAATTAAACATAGTCTACACACAAAAGGAGCTTCTTGGGTTTTGGTAGCACCATTCCTTATCCCATTACTGGCTACATAAGGCATCTTAAATTTGTGCGAAATTCATTAAGCTGTGTTTTTGTGATCTGTGCACTTTTCTACATGTTAACTTTCAATAATTTTTTTAAAAAAGACTCTAAATAGAGGGTTGGAGGCATAGCTCAAGTAGCAGATTGCCTATCAAGCACAAGGCCCTTAGACTAAACCCCAGTCCAACAAAGAAGGAAGGAGAAAGAAAGAAAAAAAAAACTAAGAAAGAGAAAGAAAGTTTAAAAATCTAGCTGGAATTAGGGAGTGCTCATATATCCTTTTACTCTACTTACCCCAAAAAGGTACAGATTTGAATCCTCCACCTATCCCTGTTTTCAAGATAATATACTGCGTTGACTAACTTTATGAAAATATGGTTATTCAATAATTGATTACTGGGATCTTTACCCAACACCTTTGCCTAAACAAGCTTGCTACCTCTGAATGAATGCCATGTTTCTCCTCCCCTACATTGTCTACAAGCATGCTCAGAACACGGGAGGAATCAAGTCTTCCTAGGAACATCCTCAAGTTTGTAATATATGCAAATTGGTGTTCAGCAACTGGCTCATAAGACTGTAATAAAAGAAAAAATTAATTTATTTCCCTCAAATTGAATGATACTCTGCCTGATCTAAAACAGCATTTGAAGTGCCTTGGTTGGCTTAGAAAATGCTGCAGATGATTGTAATCTTCCACTGTTACCTTTTTTTTCTCCATGCTGCTTCTTTTGTTGTTGTTGTTTATCTTTCACCTTGACTTTGCTTTGTCTCAGCCCTTTCCCTTACAGAAACTCAAAAGCATTTATCTGCAGGTCCAGCTCCACAATGCTGGCACTCCCTAGAATACACAACTGGTAATACAGAGAAAGAAACGTGTGGAAGAAATTAGTTTTAGTCCCTGCAACAAAATAAGAACTAGCTGGGAAAGAGCAAACCCTCAGCCATCAGACTCAGAAGCTACTCACATGCAATTTATGACCAGCAACGGAGCCTTCTTTCCCAAAATGCTCTGCTCTCCACTCCTCTTCAAACAGCTACTACCCCCACCCCCAGTCAAACATGTATCACAGGGATTGACATAGACATAAAACATCTATTTAATTTTCTCACTTTACAAAATTTTCCTTATACAAAGCATAGCCTTGGATTTATTCCAAGTGTTTGAAGATGCCCCAAATTTTCCAGCCCATTCAGACCTTTGAAAAATGTTTGAGGGGCTGGGAAGGTGGCTCAGTGGTAGAGTGCTTGCCTTGCATGCATGAGGCCCTGGGTTCGATTCCTCAGTACCACATAAGCAGAAAAAGCCGGAAGGGGGCTCTGTGGCTCAAGTGGTAGAGCACTAGCCTTGAGCTGAAGAGCTGAGGGACAGTGCCCAAGCCCAGAGTTCAAGCCCCAATACCCATAAAAAATGTTTGAGAAGGACGTACATGCTATGGAGACCTGGAGTTCCTTCTAAAATACAGCTCAGGCAAGATCTGAGTGACCAACTTTTGACATCCAGGTTCTAATACTTGGTGCTATTTCTTAATGTGTCAAATATCTGTTGTTCAAGAATGTGCTCACTTTAGAGCTGACCCATTTCATCTGAAATCTATACAATTCTCTGGAAAGAAATGACTAGGAGATGGGCTGGGAATGTGGCTTAGTGGTAGAGTGCTTGCCTAGCATGCATGAAGCCTCAGGTTCAATTTCCTCAGTACCACATACACAGAAAAAGCCTGGAGTGGTGCTGTGGCTCAAGTGGTAGAGTGCTAGTCCTGAGTGAAAGAAGCTCAGCAACAATGCTCAGGCCCTGAGGTCAAGCCCCAGGACTAGCACAAAGAAAGAAAGGAAGAAAGAAAGAGAGGAAGGAAAAAAGAAAGAAAAAAGAAAGAAAGGAAAGAAAGGACTAAGAGAGAATGACCACCCTCACCCACAAGAAAGTAAAAGTTGCTTTTTTTTAAATCTAGCTTTAAAAAAAATAAAATCCAGCTTTAGTAAAACTTCCTTAGTAATAGAATTACTTCTCTCTTCTTTTCAAAAATGTAAAAGGTAATTTTTCCCCTCATATTGCCAAGGTATTAATAGTTATCAGAATGAGCAGAGAAAATTTTCTGTTGTTATCCTAGACAAATTGAAGCTCACATTTATTACAGAATAGCCCAATCAAGGATCTTCTCTATACCATCACTCCCTCCCTCCCTCCTTCCCTTCCTCCCTCCCTCCCTCCCTCCCCTCTCTCTCACCCTCTCCCTCTCCCTCCCTCTCTCTCCCTCTCTCTCTCTCTCTCTCTCTCTCTCTCTCTCTCTCGTGGGACTTGAACTCAGGGCCTGAGTCCTCACCCTGAGCTCTTTTGCTCAAGGCTAGCACTCTACTACTTGAGCCACAGCTCCACTTCCTGTTGTTTTGAGTGGTTAATTGGAGATTTGAGTTTTCTGCCTTGGCTGTCTTCCAACTACAATCCCCAGATCTCAGCCTCCTGAGTAGCCAGAATTACAGGCATGAGCCACTGGCACCCAGTTTCAGATTCTTTTTGATGGAAAGAAACTAGGGTTTACTTATATAGGCAACATGTTCATCTTGATGCAACATCTGATTGCCACTCCAGTAAAAAGGATACTGCTTGTGTTAAAAATGAAATTATCATATGATACAAAAATTACTAAAGAATTTGGTAAATCTGAGTTGTGCACTGAGTTGTGCACCTATAATCCTAGCTCTCAGGGGACTGAGATCTGAGGATTACAGTTTGAAGCGAGCCTGGGAAGGAAATTTCATGAGCCTCTTTTCTACAATTAGCCACCAAAAAGCCAAAATTGTAGCTGTGGCTCAAATGGTAGAGTACTAGCCTTAAGCAAAAAGGCTCAGAGACAGTACCCAGACCCTGCATTCAAGCTCCAGGACTAACGCAATAAAATATAATAACATAAATCTGAGAATAACTTCTAAAGTATTAATATTTCATAAGTGTATTGAGGTTTCACCCCAGAATGAAAATATAGGTGTGAACAGGTTAAGCAAGGTCTTTTGTTAATAAGTTACAAAGGCTCCCAAATTCCTCCTAAAATGAAGGTCAGGCCAGGTCTGGATTGATGGAAACCATCCTACTAAGTATAACATGGAGGGGCTGGGAAGGTGGCTCAGTGGTAGAGCGCATGCCTTGCATGCCAGAGGCCCTGGGTTCGATTCCTCAGCACCACATAAGCAAAAAGAAAAAAGCCGGAAGTGGCGCTGTGGCTCAAGTGGTAGAGCGCTAGCTTTGAGCTGAAAAGCTGAGGGACAGCGCCCAGGCCCAGAGTTCAGGTGCCATGACCGGACCCCCCCCGCAAAAAAAGTATAACATGGATCTAGTATGGCTACTTCACTCATATTAATTTTTAAAGTGCACAGCAGTTGCTGCAGAAGATTATAGATCTCCCTTTAGAAGCTCTAAAGAATAGAAAATGGACTAGATGATTTCTCCCAGTCCTATGATTTTGCTAAATAACCAACTCTACTTGATGACCAACATATTTCATTTTCAGAAGTTAGGGAAGGAGGGAATGAGAATGTAGCTTCTGAATGGGGTATCCTTCTGGGGCAATAAAAATATCCAGACAGATGCTGGTGGTTCACAACTATAATCCTAGCTACTCAGGAGGCTGAGAGCTGAGGATCCTGGTTCGAGGTCAGCCAGGGCAGGAAAGTCTTTGACACTCTTATCTCCAGTTAACTACCAAAAAGCTGGAAGTGGAGCCATGACTCAAGTAGTAGAGCAGCACTTTGAGGAAAAACAAAGCCCAAGAACAGCACCCAGGCTCTGAGTTCAAGCCCCAGCAAGCGTCCGCACGCATGCATGCACACACACACACACACACACACACACCTTGGCATATGGAATTGTAATCAGTTTGTATTACCACTTAATAATAATAAAATGTTTAGCCAGGCACCTGTAATCCTAGCTACTCAGAAGACTGAGATCTTAGAATCGTGGTTCCAAGCCAGCCGGGGCAGTAAAGTCCATGAGACTCTTATCTCCAATAAATCATCCAGAAAACCAGAAGTGGAGCTATGGCTCAATTGGTAGAGAGCTTGCCTTGAGCTGAAGAGCTAAGGGACAGTGCCCAGGCCCAGAGTTCAAGCCCCATGACCGACAAAAATAAAAGTTTTAAATGGAAAGAAAAAGTTCTGAAATTTGGTAGTGGTGATAATTATACAGCCTGTGAATATACTATAAACCACCAAGTTATATATTTTTTAAAAAAGGTAAAAAGACTTATGCAAACTGAATGAAAACCAGAGTATAAGTTCTACATTTTAAAAGGCTGCATCTTATGCTTTAATAGCTGCTGTTAAAATATGAACCTTTATTTAAATAATCTCATAGATGAGATACCTGTATTTTCTTACTATGGTTAACTACCACATTGGTCTGTAACATTTGTGGTTTACAACACAATATATAGAACAGACTTAGCCCTTATGCAATTCTATTCTAGAAACATTTTGATCAGAAAACTCTAATTATCAATGATTCATTAAGTTGTCTTTAATTAAACTGAGGACATTATTAATAATTTTAAGAATGGCAACAATTTTAGCATAGTTTACATGAAAGAAATCACTATTGGTTTTCACTTTGATTCAATATTTTTGATCCCATGACTGCTGTCAATAAGACAAATACTCATGGAAATGGATTGGTTCCAGTTAGGAATCTCAATCTTAAAACAATTTTCTATAGCTCATTAAAATGACCAAAGAAAGCCTTTAGTTTAACCTAATGGTGGTAATATGTACTTCTTAATAAATAGTCTCAATACTCATAGGGCTTTTACTTACACACACACACGCACACACACACACACACACACACACACACACACCTCTTCGAAAGCCTTGCTTTGAGTTTTAGTGTGAAAGACTAATGCCACAATCTTTCATGCAAAGAGAAACTAGTAGCTGTTACTTAAATTTCACCCTCTCAATTTGACTAGAGCAGTTTTGAAGTACACTAGCAATCCTTTTTGTAGTTATTTTATACTCTGGTTGTTTTCCTAGAGTGCAAAACTCAAAATACCTAGTGTAGTTTCCATTTGTCACATAAACACGTATTAGTCTGAATGTAAAATTACCTCTCCAGATGTGGAACTACAAAGCAGAAATACATTAACCTTTACTTTATGTACACAATGCACACATACAAAAGCAATAAGAAAAATAAATTATATATATATATATATATATATGAGGCTCAGTTTTACTTTTTCATGTCTATAAAACAACAATAATAACAGCTGAAAAGATGAAGGGCCACCTAGTGCCATACTCCATGTATTCCTGCCCTGGTGCAGTCCACCTGGCTATAGAAAGTCAAGCACACGGTAACAAGCTCTCTCCGGACTAGGGTAGAAAGCATGGCATCTTAGAAGTGAGCATCAAATGCGAGTTTCCTTGGGAATGTGGATTTCCTTGCAAATGCTAGGAAAACTCAGATATGAAAACACAGCCACTCTGCTGGGTTAGGTGAGGAGCCCTCTGACTTTTTCCAAGTCAACGAGGGCAGGGAGGAGGTGGGCAAGGCTAAGGGGAAACACCCAAGGAAGAATGAAGCGCCTCAAGAAGGACAAATCTACTCAACCCGCCTCTTTCCAACCTCCCCGCCTGCTGCTGCGGGGATCTGCAGGGAGGATGGAGACCTGCGCTGTCCTTGGTGCTGAACGGCCCTGGGCGCCCACTCACCGGCCAGCAGCGCGGCTCCCAGGAAGCTGAGCAACACGGTCGGCTGCATGGCCGGGTCGCCTGAAACCTGCACCTTAGCAGGAAGAGGCTGCAGCGGGACGGGCTGGATCGGCTGGACCAGCGAGGCAGGGTGCAGGAGAAAAGGCGAGATGGAGATGGAGATGGAGAAACCGGCCGTGCGTCCTGATCCCCGCGGTGTGGCGCGGTTGTCGCAGGCCTGGCTCTTTTAAAGGGTAGGTGGGGGCCGCCAGGCCCGGTGTGGCTAAGAGCCAGGAGGAGGCGCCCCCTCGCTCGGCCTTGACGTCACCAAGCAGCCCCCAGGGCGGCGGAAGGCGGCAGGCAGGCGGAAATGTACGCCAGTCCCAGAGTCTGGGTGCGCAGAGGAAAGGAGGTGGGCAGTCAGGTGGACGAAGGAGCTGGAGAGTGAAGGAAGGCAATGTGGATTGGAGACGGGAGAGAGGCGGGATTGCACAAGCTTGCCTCCCCCCCCCCCCCACCACACACCTCCACTGCTAACAATGCGTGATGGAGACTGTGCGAACGCGTGTGGGTCTGCTGAGAGCGTGCGAAGGACTGCATCTGTTCTGTGGCTCCCTTTTTCTAGCTAAGGAAAAGATTCCTGCAACAGAGAACACTATACAGTCGGTAGAGGAAATGGGAACCAGGGAATGATGGTTTTAAACGATCAAAAGGTGTAGCCAGCATCTTGGCTTCTGTATCTATGTTCCTGCCCACAATCTAACCTCTCCAATACAGAGCATTCTCAGTTACAAACATCAGATGGTAGGGAAGGATGTCTTAAGGTGATCGACCTCTTTGATCGCCAACTTCCAGGTCTCCCAATTTCCCAGTCCCTCCATCTCCCCCCTCTCGCCCCCCCCCCGCAGAATCAACACAAATTAACCATTTCCTGTGGTCTAGGCTTAATTTAGTTTGGAGCATTCTCAGCTGCATCAAAAGAGTGGCTGGACTGCTGCTACATTGAATAGATAGGATGGGATTTAACAATTCCTCCTTCTGATGGAGATTTACTTAGATTTTTAACCCTTTTGTCCTTTGGGATACTGACATAGCACCAGGATAGCTTATAGGAGCTAGTACATCCTACAAGCCCCGTGTATCCTCTTTTGCTTTTAAACGGAAAGAGAAAAATATTTTACTAGGGGGAGGGGAGAATGATGGAAAAGGTGACATTGATCAAGATGCATTGTACTCGGGAATTGACATCATGAACATTGGAAACCACTTTGTACAACTAAAGAGAATTTAAAAAAAAATACTTTGCTATACTGAATGAGAAGGTTAGAACATCTTCCAGAATATTTTTTTAGAGAATACTTTATTAGTTTCTGTAACCAAACCCATGTAGATAAGACCTTACATATTTAATACAGTGCATTTACCCCTGTACAAATGAAAAAAATTAAGTTTAACATTTCTAGACCAATATGGCTATTAATTTCTGCACAATGCCAACTCAACACGGTAAACTGGGATTCTAGAATATTTTTGACATGGATTTCCCCAGCCTGATGGGGAAACCAGGGAAATGCATCAGGCAAGAGCTCTGCACAGATGAGCTACACTTCCCTGAACACAGGCTTGGGGGACAGAGGAGCCTTCACATGAGGTCTCTCATTCAGGTAGTGAGGCAGTCCACACGAACAACTACAAAGACCTTTCAGATCCCTTTTTTATAAAATTAGTGTGACTTTAATTCTCTTTTGCATGCTGGTACATAGATATGTATTCTTGAAAAGGCTTGGAATTATTTCACCAAAACTAGAAACATAAAATATTCAAATAATAGTCTTGGGAAGAAAAGCTTACAATAAACATGGTAGGAGACAAGGGCAGAATCATGGTGTTGTTGTTTTTTTTAATATCATTATCAAGTAGTCTGGGAATCTTTGTTGATGTGACTAACCTTTCTCTTCTTTTCTTCAATGTTCCTTTAAAAAAGCATATAGAGTATACACAAGTATACACATGGGAAAAACATATAAAGTCCATAGATGCATAAGCATGCTTCTGAAACTTCCAGAACATGGATGCATTCTATTTCATTAGTCCAATTGTTCTGTGGAGCAGCACCATACTTCATATCTTATCAATGAAATAAGTTTTGCTCTCTTGGAGAAAACATCTTCCCATCTTATTTTTCTTGTGGATGTTATTGGCCACTCTTGGCCTTCTGCATTTCATACAAATTCTGAAATCGATGATCAATCCATCTTTTAAAAAAAGATCCCATTAGGATTTTGACAGGAATCATACCAAATCCATGGATCCATTTAGGACTAGTTAACATGCTTACATAGGATTATATTCTGATATATATATATATATATATATATATATATATA